CTCCAACTCAAAAAAAAAAAAACAAATAAAACAGATAAGAGCGAGCTGAAAGATGTGACCTAGAACAAAACCCACTTTCTGTGGCCATGAAGCTTCTTCAGAACTCCAGGCTCCCCAGCCCTCTATTTGAAACTGATAGTCTAGAATTAAGAGCAGAAAACATAATACCAACTGGCCTTACTTGCCCTTCTGGAATATCCTGGGATGAAAAGATTGTAAAAAAGAAAATCTTCTCAGAAATGGGTGTCAAGAAAGGAAGGGGTGCTGAGGAAAGCACAGGGGGAGGTACTTGGAAATTCCACCCCACATACCCCTTTCCTTTTCCTACACACCAAACGTGGGAAGGCAGGCCAGGATGCATGAGCTGAGAAGAATCACGCCATTAGCTCTTCACCTGCTGCCCCGTGCCCTCACAGATGACACTCACCGGTCCTCACACCAACTCTGTGGGGCTGAGGGTAGACTGTTTTACAGGTGACACTGAGGTAGAAGGGGCCCTGTTGACTTTCCCACCTGAGAATCATTCACATGTTAGGCATGAACAAAAGCAAGGGAATTTGGAAGTCTGCCACTCAAAATGAATGAGCTGGTGAGAGGAATGCAGCTTCTATATAAATATGCATAATTATGATGAGCAACAAGAGATCTGGTAATGTCACCTGGTGGCAGAGCATTAGGTGACGTTCCCCTTACTCATTTGCACCAAGGATCAGAGAGGGTGTGTTCAGCTGGAGGCAAGTGCCCAGTAACAGAGAAGGGACCTTGGCTTTGTCCCTTCAACACTCTCCGCTGGGTCTTTCAGATAAACCTTCCCATGGCTGATAGCAGTTAGATTCCTGATTCTGAGAGTTGGTAGAGAAGTTTTAAGATGTGTCAGTGAGGTATGGCAGGAAAGAGAAGCCATGTCCAAAGGGTTTCCTGAGGAGGGTTTAATAGAAGCCCTATTTACAGAGGTGTGTGCAGGACAAAGGGAGCTGACCTAGGGACTGGCAACAGTAAGAAGTCCTTTTAGTGCTCCTGAACCAGAGGAGAGAAGAGGAGGGAACTCTGATGAAAACCTGTGAGAACTGGAGTTGAGTAAGAGGGGCCGTTGGACTAGAGCTGTAACCACACAGTGCCACCATTGTCAGAGACACAGGGAGGCACTGGGGAAGTAGAATTCCACTCCTTTCTCCTCCAGTCCCCCTATTCTCGCCACTGCCTCCCTTTGGCCAAACCCAAGAGTCCATAACAGTTGGCCTCCAAGACAAAAGGCAGGTTAGAGGAGGGTGAAGAATGCAGAATACTGTACCTAGTACAGGGTCCCCAAATTTGGGCCCTTCACGGCCTTAGGAACAATAATGGAAAATACTAAAGTCCCTGAACATCCTTCTGTGAGCTTTCTGAGTGTCAGTGGGGGCTAGAAATCTATCCAGCAATCAAGAGAGCAAGCCAGAGGAGCAGGGTAACAAAGCAGTTCCTTCCCAGCTCATGCTTCCCTGTCTATGCTCAGTCTAATCCCCTTATTCCATGGTTGCAGAGGAAAGCGAGGCCCAGGAAAGTGGAGGGACTTGCTCAAGGCCACTTAGCAAGGTTGTGATAGAGTCCACTTTTGTCAGGCTTTGCACTGTAGCCATTGAAGTATTGAGAAAGGGACAGCTGTGAAAGGGATATTTAGGGCAGACCCCCAGGTTCGGATAAAACTTCCATGGTCCCCACGTCACCTGATGAAAATTTGAAGAGAGTAGGCAACCCCCAGCTCACGCGTGCGCTCGAACACACACACAGTCACACACACAAAGACTAGTTAATTATTCCGAGTGAAATTAAGACAAAAGACTATAAACTCTAGGCCTTGTTGTCTGGATTCTCTGGCCAATATCTGGCGAGAGAACTTTTTGGAACCTGCAAGTCATCAAATGAGGCTTGAGTCAAAGGCAAGAAGACCCTGTGGCTGAGTTGCTGGGGTACAGGGTGCCCAATCTTCCTCCACTGAAGATTTCTGGGAACCTTGCCAACTTTGTGATAGATTTATGAGGTTGATGCATAAGTTCATAGCATTTGCGTTTGACATGGCAACCCTGTGGTGTTGGGAGTTGATCTTTTGTCATTTGGAGTAACAACATTGTGCTTGTGAATATGCCGTGCATGGTGCAGATTTGAAGAAAGTTAGTGCTATTTGTGGGCTAAAGAAGATGAAGTGTCACGTGGAAAAAACCGCTCACTTCTGACATATTCTTCTGTTTGAGTTTAACAGAGGAGTAAAGGCAGCAGAGGTGGCTTGAAACTTGGGCTGTGTACAGGGAGAATGCTGTTTGGGAAGTCAATGCGAAAAACGTGGGTTTGTTGTTTCCAAGAGGGCCACTCTGACCTGAGCAATCTCCACTTCAGGAAGACCATTGGGCTTTGATGAAGCCTGCTTGTTTAAATG